GCGAAGTGCGACAGGCACCACCGTGGCACACCAACCTGGGGGACCACGACATGAGCGGGCGAAGTGCGACAGGAACCACACGCCAACCTGGGGGACCACGACAAGAGCGAGCGAAGTGCGACAGGAACCACACGCCAACCTGGGGGACCACGACATGAGTGAGCGAAGTGCGACAGGCACCACCGTGGCACGCCAACCTGGGGGACCACGACAAGAGCGGGCGAAGTGCGACAGGAACCACACGCCTCCAGACCCCCCCGAGCCCCGCCAGCACCAGAAAACCATCCCAGACAGAAAGCAGAGCCAAGAGCAAGGATCTGAGGCAGGGACGCTGGCAAGAAGGTCAGAGCTGAGAAGAACACATGGGGCAAGGACCCAGCACCCAGACCCCCAGGGCCTGCAGCAAAGGTGCTGGCTCTTCCTCCATGTACAGTTTCTAGTGAATGCAAACTGCTTCTGAACCACTGTCAAGTCAAACCATGGGAAGTCAGGGACCATCTGTATTTGCAAATCGTGTATCCGATAAGTGACTATATCCAGAATATATAAAAACATCTCTTACAACTCAATAATAGAACAACAGACAAAAATAATACATAGACAATAATAAAGACACAATCCAATTTAAAAGTAGGCAAAGGATTTCAATACCTCCACGCTACAACACGGATGAACCTGAAAACACAGTAAGTTAAGGCCAGTCACAAAAGACCACATGTCGTGTGATTCCACTCACAGGTGGCCCCAGTGTGGGATGATGTAAAAGCCACACACATTCAGTGGAAGCAATACTTAGACTCAAACCACCACCCTGTTTTTCACTTTCATCGCAGCATTCAATAAATTACATGAGTTATTCAACACTTTATGTTCAATGACTTCGCCCAACTGTAGGCTAAGGTAGGTGTTCTGAGTATGTTTAACCCAGTAGATAGGCTAAGCCACAAAGTATAGCAGGTTAGGTGTATCACACACATTTTTATTTTATTTTATTTTATTTTATTTATTTTTTGAGACAGTCTCGCTCTGTCGCCTAGGCTGGAGTACAGTGTTATGATCTCGGCTTACTGCAACCTCTGCGTCCGCCAAGTTCAAGCGATTCTCCTGCCTCAGCCTCCCGAGTAGCTGGGATTACAGGTGCGCACCATCATGCCTGGCTAATTTTTTTGTATTTTTAGTAGAGACAGGGTTTCACCATGTTGGCCAGGCTGGTCTCAAACTCCTGACCTCAAGTGATCCACCTGCCTCAGCCCTGCAATGTGCTAAGATTATAGGTGTGAGCCACAGCACCCAGTCTCAAACGCATTTTAGACTTACGATATTTTCAACTGACAATGGGTTTATCAGGATATAAGCCCATAAGTTGAACATCTGTATATAAAATGTCCAGAAAAAAAACGTATAGACAAAGAAAGTAAAAAAGCAAGGTTAGACAGGCACAGTGGCTCACACTTGTAATCCCAGCACTTTGGGAGGCCGAGGCAGGTGGATCATCTGAGCTCAGGAGTTTGAGACCAGCCCGAACAACATGGCGAAACCACGTCTCTACGAAAGACAGAAAAAAATTAGCCAGGTGTGGTGGCGCACACCTGTAGTCCCAGCTACTCAGGAGGCTGAGGCAGAACTGCTTGAGCCCAGGAAGCAAATGTGGCAGAGAGCCAAGACTGATTGTCCCACACACTCCAGCCTGGGAGACAGACAGACCCTGTCTCAGAAAACAAACAAACAAACAAACAAACAAAAGGCTACAGAGGTGAGTAAACGGGGAGCAACAACTCACAGACACAGGACTTCTTTCTGGGGTGATGAGAACGTTCTAAGATTGTGGTGACAGATGGACAGCTCTGTGAATATACTAAACACCACTGAATTGTAAACTTTCAATGGGTGGATTCTACAGAACGCTAATCATAGCTTAATAAACTGTCACAGGCTGGGCATGGCAGCTCAACACTTTAGGAGGCTGAAGTGGTAGGATCCCTGAAGGCCAGGAGTTTAAGACCAGCCTGGGCAGCATAACAAGACAAAAAATAAAAATTTAAAAATTGGCCAAGCATGGTGGCACATGCCTGTAGTTCCAGCCACTTGAGAGGTTAAGGCGGGAAGATCGCTTGAGCCCAGGAGATCAAGGATGCAGTGAGCCATGAATGCACCACTGCACTCCGGCCTGAGCAACACGGCAAGACCCTGTCTCCTAAAAAAAAAAAAAAAAAAAGAAGGAAAGGAATGAAGGAAGGAAGGAAGGGAGGGAGGGAAGAAGGACTGTCATAAAATAAAACAGAAATAATAATTTCATTATTTATTTTTCTGGAGAGAAACATAACTCAGAGGGTGACTCCTAAAAAGAAGGTAATAAAGGGAACCCAAGTCTTACTTCCTGAGTTAGATGACCTTTGGAGACTTTTCTATGGCCTTAAGTCTAGAGACACAGTTAAAAGACAGGGAAAACCAAGGCGGGC